TGTGTGCCGCGAGAAGACACACCAGCGTGGGACAACAGTGTTGACCTTGACGCTACTATTAGCATTCCAGAGATAAACAGCCCGCATTCCAGCAGCTTCGAATTACAAACTCAACAACGGAATCCGAGACACATTCCACACGAGAATCTTCAACCTCGTACTCTCAATTTCAATTCTGCGAACAACGAAACATCAGGTATGATTGACATGCATGCCGAAGCAAGTAGCATAGCTGCAATATCTGCATGTAAGCTTTTGCCATTTTGGGCTGAAGAGCCTGAGCTCTGGTTCGCGAAAACTGAATCAGCATTTCAAGTGAGTCGTATTAGATCGGATGATTCTAAATATCATTTGACCATTGGTGCCCTTGACACGCGCGCGCTGAGGGAAATATCCGACATTTTAAAGGCAGAACCTGCGCATAATAAATATGAGTTATTAAAAACACGGCTAATTGAGCGGTTTGGCTCAACGGCTGACAAAAAGTTAGAGACCTTATTGACACGTCTCGACCTTGGTGACAAAAAACCATCACAACTGTATAGACAAATGGTTGACCTTGCTGGAGGTAATGCAACTGAAGACTTAGTTAAAGTAAAAAGGCTTGATATGCTGCCGCGCCATGCGCAAAACATTTTAAAAATTTTCAAAGCAAGCACAACGGATGAGTTGCTCGACGCTGCTGATACCATAGTTGACACGCCGATAGCACCGTCCGTATTCGCGGTTGAACCAACTAATCCTGTGATTGCCGGACAAGACCGTGCATCAGATTTAGCGGAAATAAAATCCCTTTTGCTACAATTAATTAAAACCACTCGTGATTTATCAACTCGCGTGGTCGAAGCTATTGCCCAACCACGTCAATCTCGACCCGGTTCTCGGCAAGGAGGAGCCTTCAATCGAAATCGCTCAAATTCTAAGCCCAGGCCTCATATCAATGGCACGTGCTACTACCACCACAGGTTTGGCGAGGCGTCCACTCGCTGCAACCGCCCTTGCACCTACTTTAGCAACCAGACCCAAGTACAACAACCCTCAGTGACGGGAAACCAGTAACGCTGCTGTCTATGATGGCGACAGGCAGCAGCACAGCGTTCTCCCTAACCCCGTCTCACGAGCCCGTTACAGAGAATCGACTGCATGTAATCGACCGCTCATCAGGCATTCGCTTTCTGGTAGACAGTGGTTCGGTAGTCTCGATCATTCCGGCCCGTGGCGGAAGGAAGGCAACTACAAACGACATACACCTTTCTGCAGCAAATGGATCAGCAATAACAACATGTGGTCGTCATACTATCCAGGTAGACATAGGCCTACGGCGAGTATTCCCGTGGTCTTTTGTTTTAGCCGATGTAAAAGTCCTAATTTTAGGGGCAGATTTTCTTAAATATGATGGCCTCGTGCCAGATTTAAAAAGACGCCAACTGATTGACGCTACGACCAGTCCAATAGCGCATTGCAGCATCGAAAGCTCCAGCACGCACTCAATCTCAGCAGTACTTCCTGCGAAACCTGCAACTGTTAGTGCATGCCTAGAGTTCATCAATAAATTTTTCGAGAGGTTTGTGGCTATGGAAGGCCAAATTGTAGGACCAATGGCGAAAACCCAGCATCACATCATAACCACAGGGCCCCCAGTCTATGCAAAACCTCGTTAAATGATCGGGGAGAAACTTCAAGCAGCAAAAGCAGAGTACAGGGAACTGCTACGAGCTGGGATCATACAGCCATCGAGCAGTCCCTACGCCAGTCCTATTCATATGGTGAAATCGCCATCTGGGAAGCTTCACCCGACAGGTGACTACCGAGCTTTAAATGCACAAACCGTTCCTGATCGCTACCCAATTCCGAGGATTAGCGATTTACTACTTCTTCTTCATGGGAAGAAAATCTTTTCAACTATAGATCTAAAGAAGGCATACTTTCAGATCCCCGTAGCTCCTGAGGACGTGCAGAAAACGGCAATTGCGACTCCTTTCGGTCTATTTGACTTTCTAGGAATGCCCTTAGGATTAAAAAATGCTACACAAACTTTCCAAAGATACATGTGCAGTCTATTAGGAAATCTTAGTTACGTTTCCGTCTTCATAGACGACATCCTTATCTCATCCAGCACTATGGAAGAGCATCTTGGCCATTTACGGACCGTCCTGAGCATCCTGCTTGAAGATGGTTTGAAGATAAACTGGAACAAGTGCCAGTTCGGTCAACAAGAGGTAAATTTTCTTGGCTTTAGGATAAATGCCGACGGATTTCGGCCACCAGCAGAAAAGGTTGAGGCTATCCTCAACATCCCCAAACCTGCAACCATTCATGACATGAGGAGATTCTTGGGAGCCATTAACTATTTCAGATTGCAAATTCCGAGTGCAGCTGAATCGCAAGCTCTGCTCAACGAGTGCGTAAAAAGCATGAAGAAAAGAGACAGAACCCCGATAGCATGGTCATCAGAGTTAGAAAAAGCTTTTGAGGACACCAAAAAATCGCTTGCAGCGGTAACATCCTCAGCTTTCTTGCATCCTCAAGCACCCATCATCCTCACAGCTGACGCATCTGCAAAGGCATTGGGAGGATCCCTCGAACAAATAATCGATGGTAAGCACACTCCACTTGGTTTCTATTCCAGGAAACTTTCTGCCGCAGAACGCAATTATAGTCCATACGATCGTGAGCTACTTGCAATTTATGCGACGCTCAAACACTTTGCGCACATTGTCGAAGGCAAAGAATTCGTAATTAGAACTGACCATAAACCACTAACCAAAGCTTTCCAGCAACGCCCGGACAAAGCATCTCCACGACAGTTATATCAATTAGATTACATAGGCCAATTTTGCACAACAATCGTTCACATTCCAGGAGAACAGAATGTCGTCGCTGACGCGCTATCTCGAATCTGCACAATCAATATGCCCACCAGGCTCAGTGCACAAGTTATCAGTGAAGCCCAGGCTGATTACGAAGCTTCATTAAATCGCGAGAGCGATCATGCCAGTGGTCTTCAACAAATAGAAATAGACGAATATCGTTTCCTATGTGAAGTTACAACGGGAGTAGTACGTCCTTTCCTACCACCCTCTCTGAGGAGGACAGCATTCGACGTCATTCACGGCCTGGCTCACCCAAGCGGTAGAGAGACAGCCAGGAAGATCCGAGAAAAATATTTCTGGCCAGGCATTCGTAAAGATGCGCTTACTTGGTCGCGTCAATGCATTCAGTGCCAGAGGGCGAAAATCCATCGCCACACACGAAATCACCCTGCCGGTTTAGAGATTCCAGAAGCAAGATTTAATCACGTACACTTAGATATAGTAACTATGCCCTTAGTCAACGAGTACAGATACTGTCTCACGCTGATAGACAGATACACACGATGGCCCCAAGCAATACCGCTGAAAACGGCAACATCGGAAGAAGTGGCCAACGCTTTCTATTCTGGCTGGATTGCTACTTTTGGCACTCCGATAACAATCACCACGGACCAAGGACTTCAATTTAAGTCTGCACTTTTCAGCTCATTGGCAAAGCTAATTGGAGCGAAAAGAATACGTACAACGCCTTATCACCCGCAATCCAACGGAATGGTTGAACGTTTCCACAGAACGTTCAAAGCCGCACTGATGTGTCAGCCTGGCTCTGCCTGGACTGAGCTGCTACCTACCGTGCTCTTAGGATTAAGAACAGCTTTTAAGGAGGACATCAAGACCTCGCCTGCCGAGCTCATGTTCGGGACGACGATCAGAGTTCCAGGAGAATTTTTTATAGCTAAGGACTTACCGCAATCACCGGTAACCTTCCTAGATCATCTGCGAAAGCACTTTCAAGTCATACGGCCGTCACCTACTTCACATCATATCACAACCAAGCAATTCATGCATGAAGATCTTCATACATGCACCTATGTCTTTAAGTTGGGAGTTCCCGTTAAACCTCCACTTACTCCGCCCTACTCTGGACCTTATCGAGTAATCAAAAGGTTGGACGACCAGCGATACGTCATAGACGTCAGCGGAAATCCTCAAACCATATCAACTTCAATGCTGAAACCAGCGTACATCTTTTCGGACGAGCCGTCACAGTCTAAACGGCAAACCAAGGAAATCCAGCCCAAATCGGTATCATTTCAGGTACCCCTGACGCAGCAAGCAGTCTCAAAGGGAGCAACCAAATTAAAACTTACGCCAGAAACACTTAAGTCCCGCCTAAACAGCACCAGGTCACAACCTGCATCTGAGTTACCTTCTGATCAGGCAACTTCCAGGGAGGGAGTGGCTGTGGCGGTCACGCCAAGCTTACAACAGCTGCCACAAGAGGTCAGCACTCCGCAGTCGTCGGCAACAAGGCGGCGCAAGCAAGCGCTCGTTCCCCGCAGCGAATTCACGTAGCAGCAGTCAGTCTCTCACCGGCGCTCGAGGCAGTTGGCGACGCCTTTGCCAACTTCTCGTGGCAACTACTTGGTTGCTCTAGCGCTAAAAGAGAAGCTCAGCATAATTCACATTTGAATTCCCCCAGCTCAGGGAAACAAACAAAACAAGCAAACAGTGTAAATAGAGATTACATCAGCCTACTGTAATCTAAATCAAAAATAAAGTTCAGCCTTAAATCAAATCACAGTGTTAAGTTATTTCTCAGCGTGCAAAGCAACCTTCCACATATGCACTACACTACTGCTTCGCTCCAACACACCACATAAAATCACATGATTTGCATTTAAAACCATTTAACCTTCGGACAAAGGTCTTCTCGTTTGCCCTAGAAGGTTCAAAATATCATCTAGAGATATAACGAACTACGTAGACCTTTCCATTTTTAAATAAACTAATTTTAAAGAGGAACTACCTATCTAACTGCATGGTAAAATTTAAACAGTTTCACCTTAGGTCGGCCATATTGGTAAACACTAGCGCCACCTGCATTTCGTTGCGATCGCGAATATTGAGTCGACACCAGAGCCAACGAATACTAACAGAACAGAACAGAACGTGACGTCGGTACATTACGCAGTTCTTTCCGTTTTTTTTTTTTTTTTAACATTTTGGAGCGGTACGAATTACAAAAAAAGCAGTTTTCGAGTGATGTAAATAAAAATGAAGCTAGTGGTATATGTATTTTTTTGAGTAAATCAATTATTTTTCGGCCAGAGTTACCTCGATAATTATTCCTAAATTATTTTATATATTTGTTTATATCTATAATATTTTTATGTAATATAATAGATAATCTTTAAAACATTTGTTGCCGTGTTCACGCACTTTATTCCAAAAAACATGTGTAAACGAATGTTATTAATTTAAAAAGCATTTGTATTTTATTCGCAATATTAATATATATGAGTGTATCATCTTTTATTGTAATATGTGATATAATATAATATAAAATATTTTTCTTTTATGAAGTTTTAACTTGGTTCTTATCTATTTATTAAAATATTTGTTATCAAGTTGATAAATTGATTATATATTTCTTTTCATAAAATTTATAATATTTAGTAAGTAAAAAGATGGTGAATAATGTAAAGTCTGTATTGATTGATCTTAGTGGGACACTACATATTGATAATACTGTTATACCTGGAGCAGTGGATGCATTAAATAAGTAATGATAATTGTCATTACTTGTATATTTAAATATTAATGCTTACAAAACTATTTTCTTTTATGAGTTATGGATTGCAGTAAAGTTTACTAATTTTTTATTTCAGACTTAGAAACACAAATTTGCTCATTAAATTTGTTACTAATACTACTAAAGAATCTAAAAATGTTCTTCACAGTCGTTTAACAAAACTTGGTTTTAATATAACAAAAGAAGAGATATTCAGTTCCTTAGCAGCAGCCAGAGAAATAGTGAAAACTCGCAAATTAAATCCATTGTATTTGATTGAGGATGATGCAATGGAAGATTTTAAGGATTTAATTGATTCAACAAATCAGTTTAATGCAGTTATGGTTGGATTAGCACCATCTAAATTTGATTACATTCATTTAAATGAAGCATTCAGGTAATTATGAACTAAAACAATGATTAATTATTTTTATTGCAAATGTGATAGCATAATTATACAAAATTACCTTATTTTCTAGACTTTTAATGAATGGAGCATCACTGATAGCTATTCATGAAGGTCGTTATTACAAAAAATCAGATGGGTTAGCTATAGGCCCAGGAGCATTTGTTAAAGGATTGGAATACTCATCCGATGTCAAGGCTGAGGTGATTGGGAAACCAACATCTGGATTTTTTAAAGCAGCACTTGGAACTTTTCTTCCAGAAGAAGCTATCATGATAGGCGATGTAAATATGTTAAAGCAACCAGCTTATCAATGTATTGTAATGAGAATGGTTTAATAAAATATTGATGTATAGGATGTCAATGATGATATTGCTGGAGCTCAAGCAGTTGGTATAAAAGGTTTTCTTGTCAAAACTGGGAAGTATCAATCTGGAGATGAAAATAAAATTGAACCAGCCCCTACCAAAGTATGTGATTCGTTTACTGAGGCTGTGGATATTATTATTCACCATTATTTAAATTAAAAAGAATGCTATATCTAACATACTTTGATGTTTTTAATTTAGTTAAACCTTAATATTTCAAAATTGTAAAATTTCAACATTGTAATTTGTTATTTAAAAGATTTATTATTGAAAAATTTGTAAACTTAAATTAAACTATAAATATTAAAGATCTTGATTGGAGTTTTTCTGTATTTAGTGTACTAATATAATTATAATATTTCGTCTATAAAAGTTATCTTTTTATCTTTATTTTGTTTCTTGATTATCACCTGTTGGATGATAAAAAGAAATTCAATTATTATTTGAATGATGTAATATATTTTACTTTTTTTTAAATATTGAGATGTTAATATAGTAAACCTTGTGACCAATCAATTATGATGAAATTTGATAAAAACGTGCTTATATAAAAAATAAAATTGTGTATAATCAAATGGATTTTTACTAATACTTTAGATACCAAAATTGAATACTGTGCAGTAATTAAATCTTATTTCAGTAAATATTATTGTACTGTAAATTAGACTTGAATCTCCAAACCAATTGTAGTTTTAAAAGAAAAAAGAGCATTGGAGTAACTTGAGCATTTCGAGTTATTCTGTAGACAAGCTGTTTAAACTTTGAATTAAGATATATAAATCATTTATTCTCAATTACCAAGTTAAAATTTTAAAAAAGAAAGGTTTTTATTCTAGTTTTTTTTATTGGTTATATTAAAATAATGGTAAAATTAGAGACTCGATTTTTCAAATTTATAAATAATAAACCATGTGAATTTCATCTAGACCTAACAAAAAAATTTTATTTAAAAGATTTTTATTAAGTTCCTCAAAGTTCTCTAAAGAATTAAGCTTTCATAAATGGGATGTATTTGTGTACGTGATAAAAGTACTTTACTATATGTGTACAATTCAATTTTTTTTCTAAGTGATAAGAATTTTCAATTTCACATTTTGATTATTCTTGCTCAATGAGGTGTTATGCATATTCAATTAAATTTATATCAAATTGTATTATAAAATACTAAGATAGGTTTTTATGAACTTTTCTAGAGCTTTGTTGCATGGTATATTTAGAAGAAAACTATATTTAATTGTTTTTAAATTTATTTATCAACTGTTACTTTTTTTAATTTGTGCTTTAATTCATATTTTTGCTGACTTTGGAAGGCAACAACAAATATTCTATGGTAACAGATAATGATTCTATATACACACATTTAAAAAAATTAATTCTTAAAAATATAAATAACTTTAATACATATGTAAAAGTTAGGCTCATATCAAGAAAAGTACATTTTATTCTGTGATAATGTTATCTATATTGTAGTAAAAATTTTCTTAACATTGTAGCTATTTTACGATATATTTTTCGATTTTAGTTTTACTTCAAGATAGATCTTGTACTAGGTACAAACATAAATAGTTCATCATTTGAAAATCTAACTTTTGTTTCCTTAAAATAAAAAAACAAAAGATCTGTTCTTTTGGCAATTTCAATCTCCAGATAAGAAGCCTGTAAAGGTTCCTTTTGCTTCTTTTGACAAAATTTTTGAAGCTGCTGTGAATACTAAAGAGGAACACAAATTACAAACTTTAACTTTGTTTATTTGACAGGTCGATAGTAAAGCGTTAGATCTGCAGAGCTTTTCCAAATAAAGTGTCTGACCTATTAATTTGTAAATAAAATATTGTTAGTTAAGTTATTTAAGAGCAAAAATTATTTCATTTGTAAAAAGAAAATAAGGTACCGTTCTTAAATCCATCGATGGATCCAAAACTTGATCATTACATAGTAGCTCTACTTTTTCTTCTGCTAAAGACGAATTGTCAGCATTAGAATCTGTGTTAGCTCTATCACCTGCAGGAGAACCTCCAGATACAGTATTCCCACCACCCGCAACAGATCCCGTGTCACTCCCGGCACCTAACACTTTATCATATACGTGTTCAGCAACTTTTCGAACTTGAATGAAATCGTTGGCGACAAGGCGATCCCTATTAAGGTACATTAATTTAGTACATTTTAGAAACATTACCTACACAAGTTTTTAAAAATATGTTACGTACTTTTTCAAGCTTTTGGCACCAGAACTGGAATGTTGTAAAAGGTGAAAAGTAATCTTAATGAATTTCGGTAAATTTTTGTCTACTACAATATCTCGAACCCACGATGGCACAGTTTCATTCAACAGAACTCCTTCAGTTTCACCAGCAGCATCTCGCACTAATAGTCTATACAGTGTCCTACCACCAACTTCACTGCAAATCAGATAATATGCATAAAGATTACTTTAAAGCTAATTATCAGTTATAATAGTCATAGTTCACTTTGTACCTAAATATAACAGGTGTATGATCAGGCACAGAAAAGTAAGGATTCCCTCCTCTTGTATGTCTTGGACCATTCCCATCATTGCTATTATTATCGATTTCATCATCTGCATGGAGAGGTCTCCACCAATGTTCTAATAAAGCTTGTAAGAGTAGATTTCCGTAGTTTACTAAAATGGGAAATATGATTTCATAAAAATCTAGTTGTAAAAATAATACAATTTTATATAAATTTAGAAATGCCTTTGGGATCCACACTATCATCTTCTACTAAGCCAGTCTCTTTCGCTGAGACCCAAGCTGATAAGCAATCGTTTTCGTCTTGTCCTAAATGTATAGTTAACATCTGAAACAACACAATATGACATTACCTAACTAATATAGGAATAGTACATAAGTACCGGGATATTGTTTTGATTATTGATTATTGTATACTTATTGTACGTAGTTATAAGCACTTAAAGATTATGAAATGTGAAAAATCAATAACGTGCTTTTCTATAAAAATAAATACCAACCCCAGTTTTGAGATCAACATTGAACCAATTTGGGACATAAACCATTTTGTTACGCTTCTTTACTTCTTCATCAAAATCTACTTGACCTAAATCTTCCACTTTGCAAGCTTTCAAAACGTCATAAAGCGATACATTTTCTTCAGTATCTTTTGTTAAAACAAATCTTCTATCATTGAGTACATAGCAATGCCTTATTGCTGGACCTCCGAAAATCCTTTGAGCTGGCTCAATATTTCGAGGTGTTATTATCCCAGTCAAACTAACTGTGTCAGCATTATAATCACCACCTTGCCAATCTTTTGAGCTTATATTCTATACAAACAGTTAAGGAATCAGAGATATTTTTTTGAGTAATAACTATTAAACAATATATATTTACCCAATTATTTATCGTAGAATCACTAGTAGCTACCCAAACACTTGATTGATCTTGTGTCATGACCATTTTTAAAATTGGAGCTTTTTCTTCACAAATAACAGTAAACTTCTCTGGATTTCTTAGTTCAGTCATAACAACTCTCTTGTCTCTGCCCCCCGAAATAACGTGACTGAAATTTTCTGTTGCCTAAAACCATTACTTATAAATTAATATGATTTTAACAGTTGATTGTGTTTTAAAAGAATTTTGATTATCAGGTTAAATTCAAAACAATTTATAGTAAAATATATTTATGTACATATATATATCTACATGTATACTTTGAAAAAGGTTCGCTTTAATTTTCAAATTTTGATTATCAGGTCAAATTCAAAACAATTTATAGTAAAATATATTTATGTACATATATATATCTACATGTATACTTTGAAAAAGGTTCGCTTTAATTTTCAAATTTTGATTATATTCCATTGATACACACACACAACATTTTGGTTTAAGCAAACACAGAAAAATGTATATCAAAGATAGTGTTTAGTTTTTGCTGTATGTGAAAGTGTCTTAGTTTATTAATTTTAGTGATATTTAGTGAATTAGAAATAGTAGAAAACAGTTATATAATGTTGAAAGTTAAAGCGAGATTCATTTAGAGTCTATGTGTATCAAGGTTGATTTCTTTTTCCAAATTTCTTTTAGTAAACATCAAATTTGAACTTTTTCATTGGACTCTGTCTCATATTATTCTTATGCATACTACTCAATATCAATCAAGCTTTATAACAATAATACAAGATGGATCCTGCTAAGGAAGTATTAAATCTTAATAAGAGTTGTTATATACTCATTTCAACCAAGGTAAAGATAACAATACAATTTAATTTAATGTTATTTCTGTGAAACTTAATTCATACTATATTCTGTATTTATTTGAAAGTCAGCCTATGTATTTAAAAATATTTCTATTTCAATTCCTTGTTAAAATAAATAAATGAATCTTTCAGTAAATAAGGAACATTTCATTAAATGTTTCATATTTTTTTATGCTTGAGCAGCATATTATTAATTAGTGATACACAAACATTTTAAATTAAAAAATTTTTGTTAAACCTTGTGATAACAAATATATTTACCAATAAAGCCCAAACTCCTTCAGTATGAACTCGGTATGTTTGGACACATTGTTGTTGACCAAGAGACCAAAGTTTGATAGTTCCATCTGAACTAGCCGATAAGCATTGACTTCCATCTCTGTTTAACACCAATGCTTTTATGTTATCTTGATGACCCTTTAGTTTCATTAATTTACTACAAGTCCGAGGATCCCATATTCTAAGAACTTTTTCTGTGCTACCACTTACAATAATAGTTCCTGGTGGATTCATTGCTAAACTATATATAGAATCTTTATTACCAGTGAGAGAAGAAGCTGAAAGTTGAATATAATGTAATTAGTAACAAATTCTTAATTATTAATTTATTGAAATATTCAAAGCCTGCTGCAATAAAATAAACTTTACTTGTCACAGTGTTATTGCTTGCAGTGAGAGCTGTTAAAGTATTAACATCCCATAGAAATATAGCCTTATCCAACCCAGCACTTGCAACTTGTTCTCTATCTTTTGCGTATGCCAATGCCTTAACATAATCTTTGTGTGTTCTTAATGTTGACATACAAAAACCTTTGTGGGCATTCCATACTTTAACTGTTGTATCAGAACTAGCAGAAATTACTGTGCAAACATAACATTTCTTGATTATTGAAATTTTTTAACAAAATAAACATTTAATTGTGAAAAAATTCTTATACTCACAATTTTTACCACCACAACATAAAACAATATCGTTGACCCAATCAGTGTGATGTTCCATGGAATCCATATATGGGTCTTTCATATTTTTACAATTCCATATCCTAATTATGCTGTCTCTTCCAGCAGAGTAAAGCCTATGTAAAGCTGTGTCATACTGAAGAGAATTGACTCCAGCTCGATGTTTCTTTTCTTTTTCATCTCTTATCACCATTGATACCTTAATAAAAAAAATTGTAAATAAAAAATAGATCCATGCAAATTTAAAAAATTGTCCCACCATAAGTGGGGAGAAAATTGATACATGGATTGTCAATGATTGATGCTGCAATTTACTCTTATAAATGGAACAAATTAGATATAGTCATAAAAGATTAGTGCTGTAAGTACTAACTTGGACCTTTTTGCGGGCACTTTGACCACTAGTTTTGTGAGATGCCATGTTGAGGAAAAAGTCAGTTTGTTCAAGATTACAAGGTTGGTTCAGCAAGCGGAATTAGGTATTCATAAAACTTAAAACACTTGGTTGAATGGATTGGCACTTCGGTGCAGCTTAGTAAGCGGCAACAGCCGCCTATTAGAGGCTGAGTTGAGAGAACAGATCGAGAAGTCTAGCAACGTTCCGAGGGCCAGTCGCCGCAATCACTTGTCGCAAACCATCAGATTATTGCAGAACGTTTTTTCTTTGGTAAGATGAAATGCTGCCTGCCAGCATTTAACAGAATATGCCAAAACATGCGGACGAGCATACACAAGTTTTACACTACGAATATTTAACTTGATTACAATCACAGTGCACCTATATTATGTAGGTGTCAAGAGGCTTTAGCCACAAATTGCAAGTCGCCTGGCTTGGCGAGCTCCTTCTCTCTACACAGTACACACACGTCACACGCAAAAAGTCGGTACTCTTCGATTGCTCTTTCTTTCTCTTGATAATTTGAATATGTGTGCGTGTTAATCTGTGTATGCAATGCATAAGTGTATGCATGCGGCACTGCACGCACGTCGCATATTTATATAATCGAATTATTAAATTATTAAATCAAAATCATCAATTTACTCAGCAATTACTTGTTAAATTATAAATCTTTAGGACGTTAGGAAGTTATCCCAATAATTTATGATACACAGTTGATCATTTGAATATCTTTGTCGGTAACCACAGAATCTTTAATTTCGACCGGTCAGAAACACGTATACAGTGCCGGCCCCGCAGATAACCGTCGCTATATATATATATATATACCCAGGCAGGTAGCACAGTATCGGCACGATGCCTTCATAATTCCGGCACGCCATAACTTGCGTGCTGGCAGCGTGACGGCAGAGTACATCCATATTGGGACGGCATTATATTTCGCTACGCTTGTTGGAAGATATTTTATTTGTAGTACCGTAACTCGTTGCCAGATGACGCCACTTTTTAGAGATAAATCTGGAGAAGACAACCTTCTACCTTATCCACTCTATCTCGCCCCTTCTACCTCGTCCGGGTTGTTCGTCTTTCTACTCATTCATTTCTTGGCGCTCGGTAACGACACACGCGACAATACCATGGAGGACAAAGAAATGTTGAATACCAAGATCTCTCAGACGCGGTTCTAGTATCAGTTTCAATGACCTTGAGTTTGATACTAAACGATAAGAGTGAATCTTTGGAAAGGGAATTTATTTTAAAAAATTTGAGCAATTTAGTTAAGCTTTTATGAGATTTTTTTATCAATTATTACATGTTAGAAAGCTTTATATTGGAAGACGATGTGATAATAATATTTAAAGGTTGGTCAAAGATAGAGATTCTACATCCTTGCTTTTTGGTGATGATTTTCAATAGGTCTTAGAGAATGCAAAATAAATGGAAAAAGCTGCAAGAATTTGAAATATAAAAATGACAATTCCTTGCTAAAACAAGAATATTCAACCGGATTGAAAATCCAATCCGCTTCGAGTATATTTTTGAATCCTACAAATGACAATTTAAATTTATCAAACTGGAATCGATCTGAATTCCCTTTAATATTTTTCTATCCTGAAATTAATTATTATAATATGTAAAATTAATTTCGGGATAAAAAAACATAAAAATAAATTAAGATTCATTCTACTTTAATGAATTTTAATTGTCATTTGTAGGATTCAGAAATAGACTCAAAGCGGTTTGGATTTTCAATCCGGTTAAATGTCCTTGTTTTAGCAGGGTTTTAAAACATTATCCAACTCTACTAATTCATATGCAGCTAACAATGCCTTAAACTGGAAAGGCTTCCCTGTAGGACGTGGGTACAGGGGAAGCTACAGGAATCATCAATCCCAGTCTTTCAACAGCAATAGAGCAACCAACGGCAGGTTATTTAACATCAGCTCCAGCTCTTCGAACCATAGGACTTACCCATCGAGAAGATTTTACACACAATCTCAACCTTACAGCAGAGAATACGGTACATTTAGTTGAGGTAAAGACGACAGGAAGACTGAAATTATTTTTTGATAAATGGGAAATTTTAACTAATGTCAGATTTATATTAGAAACAATAGCGGATTAAAAAATAAAATTAGAATCTAGAGTTTTTCAACTGGAAGAACCTAAATGCATTTCAAATACGGATAGAGAATATAAGAAATTGTGCAGTCATCAACAAGTTATTAACCTCAAACGCTATAGAGAAATGTTAATTTACCGAAGGACAATATTTGTCATCTTTTTTCCTAATATCAAAACCAGATGGCTCTGTGGGGACAGAACCGACTCGCTCTGGCTCCGCTCCGCGGCAGCACCGTCGGAAGCAAGCACTGACGCCGCGGAGTTGCCTCTCTACTGTATCGACGACAAGTCTGAGCAAGATGTTCGACACGCTCGCACGCATCGAGTCTTGCTCCCGTGTCATTCAAGCAAATCTCACCTTATTTTAGTGTATAGTCAATAAATATTTTATTCTCTCTATTCGCTCGCATTCTCACAATCAATTCTCCCTCGAACACGTCTCCAAAGTGGTGACCCCGACGTGATTCGAGCGGATTCTTTTTCGGCAAAGTGATCGCGCGGAAAGCCGGCTCTCAGACCACGCCGCCGCCATCTTCAAACATTTCGCGCTCGCGCCTGCCCCTACCTGTCGTGGCGACCGAGACAACAGGTACGTGCGTGCAACCGAGGCCGATCACGCGAGCCTACGCAAAATCCCTCGATTCAACAAAAAGGCCAGCGACTGAGAGTGCGGGAGTTAACCTCAGAAAACAAAAAACCGAACGAAACGTTGAAAAAGTGCTCGCGGGTGCCGAATCAAGCGTGCTCTCGACACAAGGAAGGGACGTGCAAGAAAAAAAAGTACCAGTAAGCACTCCGATTGGCAACATGGCCAGCGCACCTACGCCAGCCGAGGTCAACGACACTTCCAATCCGGCGGCCCTCGCGTTGCAGCTGCAACAAGTGCAGCAAATCCAGCAGCAGTTGCTCAACGCCAACGCGTCGAGATGCAAACTCCCGCAGTTCTGGAAAGCAGCGCCGGAAGCGTGGTTCGGTCAAGTAGAATCCAACCTGCAAGCCCATGGCGTGGACGATGACCTCAAGCGCTACAACCTGGTCATCGCAGCACTCGGCGAAGACACTGTCAACGAGCTCTTGGACGTGGTGCAGAATCCGCCGGCCACTGACATGTATGCTACGTTGAAGAGACGCATGCTCGAGCGTTTCGCCCAAACGAATGAGCAACGTCTACGCAAACTGCTCAACGACATCAAGCCAGAAGGCAAGAAGCCCTCAGAGCTTCTACGCGAAATGCGCATACTCGCAGGCAAGAGCGTCACTGACGAGGCTCTCAAGGTCAAGTGGCTTGCCCTCCTGCCAGCGTCCTCGCAGGGCGTGTTAACCGTGCTCGACGGAGCACTTGACAAATTGGCGGAAGCAGCCGACAAGTTGGCCGACATTGCGCCAACACCCGCCGTTGCTGCTGTCAGCCTACTCTCGCAGCAGCTCTCCTCATCGCCAAGAACATGCGATGGCTAAGGAGATGGCCAACATGACCGCCCTCATGTCACGCCTTTTGGCAACAGCCGAACAAACCAACGAGGCCATCAGAGTGCTGAGTCAGCAGAGGTCCCAGGGCAGAGGACGCAGCCGCAGCCGCGGGCGCGCTGGCACTCCAGCCACCCAAGCGCAACAGGGCCACTGCTACTACCATCAGCGCTTCGGAGATGGAGCACTCAAATGCGAGAAGCCATGCGACCACCCCAAGGCCTTAAAAAACTAGGACCGCTGCTCACAGTTCAGGCGGCTCACGGCAGCGGACTGCCAAAAGAAAACCGCCTTCACGTTTTCGACAGGAACTTTCGCCTCTCGTTCCTGGTCGACTCGGGATCCGTCGTATCCCTACTGCCCCGTTCGGCAGTCAAAGAGGCCACACAACTGGTGCAGCAGCCGCTGACACTCACCGCGGCCAACATGTCGCCCATTGCGACGTTTGGTCGCACTCTCCTCACACTCAACATCGGCTTACGCAGAGACTTCGAGTGGCCGTTCATCATCGCTGACATCCCAGGAGCCATCATCGGAGCTGATTTCCTGGCGCACGCAGGCATCATGGTGGACCTCCAGAGTCAGCGTCTCATCGACGCCACCACGGCGCTGGCCACACGAGGTCAGTTGTCAGCCGTCTCGCACCACACCGTTGCCATCCTGCACGATCCTGCCGAGGACCTGACAACTAGGAGCCTCTTCGACGCGCTACTCGTCGAGTACGCGGACCTCACCAAGCCCAGCAGCCGGAAGGCAACCCTCAACGGAGCGCCCGTCACCCACTTCATCCGCACCACGGAGCCACCGGTGTTCGAGCGCCCACGACCACTATTCGGTGACAGGCTCAAAGGCGCCAAAGCGACCGTCAAAGAGCTCATGGACGCGGGTCTCGTCCGCCCCTCCTCTAGTCAATGGGCCAGTCCTCTGCACTTAGTGGAGAAGAACGACGGCAGCGGCACCTTCCGCATCACGGGCGACTACCGCCGCCTCAACGCTATCACCGAGCCAGACCGCTACCCTCTTCCAGTCATCGAGCACCTTCTTCATGGCTGTCACGGCGGTAAGGTCTTCACGGTAGTCGATCTCAAAAGAGCTTTTTACCAGGTGCCAATGGCCGAGGAGGACATCTGCAAGACAGTCGTCATAACTCCGTTTGGCCTCATTGATTTCCTCGTCCTGCCCCTTGGCCTACGCAACGCCACGCAGACGTTTCAGCGTTTCCTGGACGGTCTGCTCAAGGACCTCTGGTTTTGCCGCTGGTACATAGACGACATCATCGTCTTCTCCAGGAACTACGAGGAGCACCTGAGCCACGTGCGACAGCTTTTCGACAAGCTTCGTTCAGCTGGTCTCTGCATCAACCTCGACAAGTGCCAGATCGCTCTGCCCGAGGTCATCTTCTTGGGTTTCACAGTGAGCCAGCAAGGGTTCAAGCCGCCACCGCCCAAGGTCGACGCAGTTGACCGCATCCCGACGCCGACGACATACCAGGAGCTTCGCAGCTTTCTCGGCGCTCTCAATTACTACAGGCACTGCATCCGAGGAGCGGCTCAACTAGAAGTTCCTCTTGACAATCTCCTACGGGGCGCACCCAAGAAGAAGAAGGCCAAGCTGAAGGGCTGGACCACAGCTCAGGACAAAGCTCTCTCAGCTTGCAAGCAGGCGCTCAAACAAGCCACGTTCAGCGCTTTCCTCGCTCCAGATGCCGAGCTCGTTGTCTCCTCCGACGCTTCAGACGAGGCGATTGCCGGCTCCGTGGAACAACTCATCAACGGCAAGTACTACCCAGCTGGTTTCTTCTCCAAGAAACTCACGTCGGCGCAGAGAAACTACAGCACCTTCGACAGAGAGCTGCTCGGGGCCTACGAGACCGTGAGGCACTTTGAGCACTACTTAGAGGGTCGCGAGTTTGTGCTCAGGACTGACCACAAGCCGCTAGTCCACGCATGTCGCAGGCCATCCAGCAGAAGCTCACCGAGGCAGAAGCGACACATGGACTACATTCTCCAATTCAACGTCAACGTCCAGCACATCAGCGGGGTGGAGAACGTCGTGGCTGACACGCTCTCCCGCGCGTGTACCATTGGCATGCCATCGGGCCTCCTCGCCAAGGACATCGAAGCTGCACAGTTGCACGACAAGGAGCTCATTCACCTGCTCGAAAGCGGCGCGCTGGATCTACAGGTCTTGGAGATTGACGGCGCCAAGGTGGCCTGCAGCATCAAGGACAACCTGGTAAAGCCATACTTGCCGGAGCCGCTGCGCCGCCTGGCTTTTGATGTGCTCCACGGGCCAGCACACCCCAGCCCACGCACAACGGCACGTGCTCTCTCAGCCAAATTCATCTGGCCCCACGTCAGGAATGACGGCTACGCCTGGGCTCGCGCTTGCGATCCCTGCCAGAGAGCCAAAGTCAGCAGACACAACCGCGCAGCACTGCAGTCGTTCAACGTGCCAGAGAACAGGTTCGAGCACATCAACATCGACCTCATCACGCTGCCGCAGGTCCAGAGCTGGCGGTACTGCTTCACCATCATAGACAGGTTCACCAGGTGGCCTGTCGCCGTGCCGCTAGCGGACATCACAGCGGACACGGTAGCAAACGCCCTGGTTCAACACTGGATTGCGCATTACGGCTGCCCTATCACCATCACCTCGGACCAAGGCACGCAGTTCGAGTCGGCGCTCTTCGACGCCCTGGCTCGCCTCACCGGAGCACATCACATCCACACGACGCCCTACCACCCGCAGTCCAACGGAATGATTGAGCGCCTGCATCGCACCATCAAAGCAGCGCTCATGTGCGCTGGTGAGACGCCGTGGCCGCAGCGCTTGCCCATCGTGCTTCTTGGTCTGCGTGCTTGCTACAAACAGGACCTCGAGGCATCGCCAGCCGAAATGCTCTATGGCACCACTCTCCGCCTGCCCGGGGAGTTTTTCGTCACACACAGCGCGCCAGCAGAGCAGCCAACTTTCGCCAAGCAGCTGTCCAGCCTCATGCGGAGCATCCGCCCAGTGCCAGCATCGTCACACTCGAAGCCCAGCATCTTCGAGTTCGCAGACCTCAAGACGTGCACACACGTGTACATGCGCATCGACGCAGTGCGCAAGCCCCTGCAGCCGCCTTACACCGGGCCGCACGTAGTCCGCCGTCGAGTCAACAGCAAGGTCTACGTCATCGTGGTCAACGGAAAGGAAAAGACCGTTTCCACGGACGCACTCAAGCCAGCGTACCGAGACGAGGAGGACCGTCTTCTCTCACCGGCGGCTGACGCATCGCCCACTCCAGCGCCCGAGCCTCAGGTCAACACCAGCCCGCCCATGCAGTCGGCCCCAGCAACTCCATCGCACGCCACTGCCAAGCCGCCAATAACACCAGCACCAGTAGCAGCCGCTCCTGAAGCTCGGCCGCTTATCGAGATGGACTCGCAGCAGCTTGGCTCGCAAGCTCTTTACTCGCAGCAGCAGCAGCAGCAGCTGCACGCCAACGTCGAACCGCAGGATCTCTCTTCACAGCAGCAGCAGTACTCGCAGGCCGACGTCGAGCTCCAAGCTCGCCCATCTCACTCATCGTTCCAACAGCAGCTCGAGCCGAAAGCCCTCTCATCGCAGCAGCAGCAGCTTGTGCCTCGAGCTCTTTCATCGCAGCAGAGCCAGAGCCCACTTCATCCAGCCTCGTCCAAGCCACAGACTCCTCTCCCGTCCAAGGCTGTGCCAACGACACTCCGTAAAAAAGTGTCGTTCCCTTCGTTCGACACGAAGCTCTCTAAGGGGGGAGTACCTGTGGGGACAGAACCGACTCGCTCTGGCTCCGCTCCGCGGCAGCACCGTCGGAAGCAAGCACTGACGCCGCGGAGTTGCCTCTCTACTGTATCGACGCCAAGTCTGAGCAAGATGTTCGACACGCTCGCACGCATCGAGTCTTGCTCCCGTGTCATTCAAGCAAATCTCACCTTATTTTAGTGTATAGTCAATAAATATTTTATTCTCTCTATTCGCTCGCATTCTCACAATCAATTCTCCCTCGAACACGTCTCCAAAGCTCCTACAGATTGGTTTAAATTTGAAGAATTTCAAAGACATTGTTGAAAATGAGCATTTCAAAATTCAAGACATCCGGATAGCAATAAATTTACTGAACAAAAATGACTTTATATGCAGATTAGATCTCAAAGAAACATACTTTTTAATTCCTATACAAAAGTATTATAGAAAGTATTTGAAATTTAGATTTAAGGATCAATTATATCAATTTAATGTGTTACCTCAGCTCTGTGACCTCAAGACGTTCTATTTCATATAAATTTTTTTTCTTTAAATCATTACGCGGTTTATTAAATATAAGCGTTTAAGAAAAAGTAATTTTGTCGTGTAAGAGCTAACAGGCTGGATGCCGTAAGAAATTAACTTTTGAAAATTCATAGCCCTGTGGGAAAATTTAGATAACACATCTGTAACCTCTCGATTTGATACTTCGACCAAATCTTACCGTTTCCACGGAATGATCGAGAGAGCGTGAAGAGCAAACAGATGACAGATACGGAAGTCGTAAAATTGTGATTTCCTTTGGTGTCTGGTTTTCTGATGATTTTCACTCTTAAAGCATCTTTAGTTTTAACATTAAGAAAAATATTTTACATTAATTTCCGAACTTACAAATACAAATTATGACATTTTATCAGAAATGAATAATCCTTTTTCTTTCTCTATTTTTTTATTTCCAACAATTTTCGTTTCTACATTTTGCCACTACGAGTCAAAACAGTAATATTATATCTACACTTGAGAGAAAAAATATTTTTTAGAGCATAAGTTGAAGCAAAATTTTTTAAAACGACGTTATTTCTGGTATTTGTTGAAACTAAGAATATAAGTTCTTTTTATTATTATCACATAGCTTATGTACCAGGTTTCGTCACTATGCTACGAAACAGTAATAATACTTATACTTAAGAAAAAAAATGTTCTTTACAGCTTAAGATTTTATTTTT